GATCCTGTTTGTTTCCCTTGGGCCGCCCCCCGGCCATACTAAATCTTAAAGCTGAGTCACTTTTTGCCCCTTTGGGTTTGGCCCCTCCATATTTATCTAATGCTGATAAACTCCCTGCCCCTTTTTCCCTTTCCCCTGCCAAAACGGATCAAAAGCTAGTCACGGGCTCCCTCCTTGCCTGTCCCCCCAAAACTGTTTAAAAAAGGCGGAGTTTTTTTTCTGTTTTCCTTGGGCCTTTTCCCCCTCCCATACGGGATTAAAGTAAAGCCCACTGCTGCCCCCTTGGGCCTTTCCCCCTGCCATCGGATCTAAACTGGGGCACTGCTGCTCCTTCCCTTTTTCCCCCTCCCATACTATCAAAAAACCCTGAGTCATTTTGCGCCCCCTTTTTCCCCTTTTCCTTTCCCCATACGGACTAAGCGGTCACTGCTGCCCTTTGGCCGGGCCCCTTGCCAAAACTGACCCAAAAGCGGGTTTCCTGCTGCCCCGGGCCTGCCCCTTTCATACTGTCTAAAGCTGAGTCACGGCTGCCCCTTTTCCTTTCCCCCCTACGGGATCTAAAGCTGATTCATTTCTGTTTTCCTTTGGCCTGCCCTGCCAAAACTAAATCTAAACCCTGACCCATTTCCCTTCCCCTTTTTGCCTGTCCCTTCCATCTTTTTAAAAAGCTAAAGTCATTCTGGCCCTTGCTTGCCCTGCCAAAAATTTAAATCAAATTTGCTGAGCCCCTGCTCCCTCCTGCCCTTTTCCCGCCATAAAAAAACCCCTAATGCTGAGTCCTGCTGCCCCCCTTCCCCGCCCCTCCCAAAAAACCTTGGAAAAAAACTGAGTCCCCGCTCCCCTCTTGCCCTTTCCCTGCCTTTAACGATCAAAACTGGAAGCCCACTGTGCAAATTTTTTTCCCCCCTTCCCTGCCATACTGATCAAAAGCGAGTCCCTCCCGGGCTCCCTTTCCCCGGGTCCATCCCCCAAAAACTGATCAAAACCGAGTTACTGCTCCCTCCTTGCCTTTTTCCACCCCCAATATTTGAATCTAAACTGACCCCACCTGCTCTTTTTCCTGCCCCCTCCCCAACTGATCTAAAGCTAAACCCCCCCCCCCCAAAAACCCCTTTTCTGCCCTTTTGCCTGCCCCCCTGCCATACTGATCTAAAGCGGGACCCCAATTTTCCGGGGCCCCTTTGGGTCGGCCCCTTTTCCCCCCCAAAAAAAATTTTTGTTTCAAAAGCGAGCCCACTGCTGTTTCTTGGGCCCGGGCCCCTTTTTTTTGCCAAAAACCTGATCTAAAGCTAAATTTAAACGCTGCCCTTGCCTGTCCCTGCAAAAACGTCTAAAAGCTGAGTCCCTGCTCCCTTTTTGCCTGCCCCTTTTCCCCAAAAAAGCCTCAAAACCCCTGGGGTCACTGTTTGCCCCTTTTTCCGGGTTCCCCTGCCATACTGATCTAAAGCTGAGTCACTGCTGCTCCTTGCCTGTCCCTGCCATACTGATCTAAAGCTGAGTCACTGCTGTTATGTTATGTTAGGGCTGTTCTACAGGCTTGTTGTGTGTATACACACACACACACAGAGACAGACAGACATGCACACATCTGTTATCCCCCCCCCCCCCCTCATGCAACAGCCTGCTCCCTCGCTCCCAATTTAGTCCCTGCTGTCCCAGAGACTGGAGCACAGTTGGATCATGCTCAGGAGGTGACAGAGTAGCCCCAGTAAGTCCCGCTCTCTCTCAGCCTGCTCCGTGCCGTCCACTCCTCTCCCTCTATCCAGCCCAGCCTCGACTCTCTTCAGCCTCAGCCATGGAGCCTCTCCCCGAGGTAAGGCACGGAGCAGAACATTCTCGCCTGCCTCCTGATGCGTGTTTTGTGTGAGTGTGTTAACAGGTTTAAAGACTGCTGCACACTTTACATTGATGGGTTAGGAACTGAAGACTGCTTGACTGTGAGAGTCTAGGTCTCAGATGAGCCAGAGCTATAGAGGACACCAGCACAGTAGACTGTTGTAAATAGGTATACTCCTTATTGTTGACTGTTAGGACGTTGTGACGTCTTATCAAATGTGATACTGAAGCCTACATCTTGTAACCTCGAGTGTAGAAGTGCCAAGCGTCACCATCCCAGTCTCTGGAGAATTGCAAGCTGCAAAGCCAGCTGAGTGGTTGACTGAAATACTTCACTACTTTTCTCTCACCCTTTTCATGAGACAGACATTGGCTTGCCTCCAGAGCTGAAGAAGCCAAGGGTTGTAGGACAATCTAGTCCAATGAGGTTGAAACAAGAGAACAACATTAACTTTTTACATAGTTAAGAAAACTGGAACGTTCTCTAAAGGCCTTGTAGCCCTGCGTAGTTCCACCTCTAAGACATTCCTTTAGTTTGTAGTGCTCAGTCCCTTGCTTGGTATGTGTCAAGGCATTCTGTTGACAGTGTTGACAAGCTCTTGTTTTGTATTTAGCTTCCTGGCCCTGTGTGGCAGCCTCACACCCTAACAGCTTTACTGAGAACTACACTACCAGTCAAAAAAAGTTTGGACACACCTACTCATTCAAGGGTTTTTATTTAATTTTTTACTATTTTCTACATTGTAGAATAATAGTGAAGACATCAAAACTATGAAATGACACATGTGGAATCATGTAGTAACCAAGAAAGTGTTAAACAAATCAATATATTTTCTTCAAAGTAGCCACCCTTTACCTTGATGACAGCTTTGCACACTCTTGGCATTCTCTCAACCAGCTTCACCTGGAATGCTTTTCCAACAGTCTTGAAGGAGTTCCCACATATGCTGAGCACTTATTGGCTTCTTTTCCTTCACTCTGCGGTCCAACTCATCCCAAACCATCTCAAATGGGTAGAGGTCGGGTGATTGTGGAGGCCAGGTCATCTGATGCAGCACTCCATCACTCTCCTTCTTGGTAAAATAGCCCTTACACAGCCTGGAGGTGTGTTGGGTCAATGTCCTGTTGAAAAACAAATGATAGCCCCACTAAGCCCAAACCAGATGGGATGGCGTATCGCTGCAGAATGCTGTGGTAGCCATGCTGGTTAAGTGTGCCTTGAATTCTAAATACATCACAGACAGTGTCACCAGCAAAGCACCCCCACACCATAACACCTCCTTGAAGGCCTGATTCACACAGTCTCCTCTGAACAGTTGATGTTGAAATGTGTCTGTTACTTGAACTCTGTGAAGCATTTATTTGGGCTGCAATCTGAGCTGCAGTTAACTCTAATGAACTTTTCCTCTGCAGCAGAGGTAACTCTGGGTCTTCCATTCCTGTGGCGGTCCTCATGAGAGCCAGTTTCATCATAGCGCTTGATGGTTTTTGCGACTGCACTTGAAAAAACTTTCAAAGTTCTTGAAATGTTCCGTATTGACTGACCTTCATGTCTTAAAGTAATGATGGACTGTCATTTCTCTTTGCTTATTTGAGCTGTTCTTGCCATAATATGGACTTGGTCTTTTACCAAATAGGGCTATCTTCTGTATACCACCCCTACCCTGTCAAAACACAACTGATTGGCTCAAACGCATTAAGAAGGAAAGAAATTCCACAAATTAACTTTTAACAAGGCACACCTGTTAATTGAAATGCGTTCCAGGTGACTACCTCATGAAGCTGGTTGAGAGAATGCCAAGAGTGTGCAAAGCTGTCATCAAGGCAAAGGGTGGCTATTTGAAGAATCTCAAATCTCAAATTTATTTTGATTTGTTTAACACTGTTTTGGTTACTACATGATTCCATATGTGTTATTTCACAGTTTTGATGTCTTCACTATTATTCTACAATGTAGAAAATAGTAAAAATAAAGAAAAACCCTTGAATGAGTAGTTGTGTCCAAACTTTGACTGGTAGTGTAAACACAATGTACGTCCTTACAACACACCAGATGAGTTGGCACGTACCATGTGAAGTATTGCACATCTTTTAAATAAGTCACTGTTATGTTGCTTCTTACTTAAAACCCATATATATATGTTTTAATGACTGGGTAATGTCTGGGAGATCTACTGTGAGATATTCTGTGCCCATCCGATATGCAGATATGCATCTTCAACCCAGAAATGTCACTCAAATGACATGCACTCACACAAAGCATGGGGAGTTGAAGCACATGTAATGATAGAATCTTCTGTCTTTTGCAGGTCCCCTTCATGGATGGGCTCACAATGAAGGAGACAGGTAACTCTCATGTGTTTAGTGTGTGTGCTGTTGTATCCATAGTGTTACATTGCTGCAATACCAAACAGACCTTTTCACACTACCGTGCCGACAGAACCAATCTGTCCTGGCTCTACCGTGCCGACAGAACCAATCTGTCCTGGCTCTACCGTGCCGACAGAACCAATCTGTCCTGGCTCTACCGTGCTGACAGAACCAATCTGTCCTGGCTCTACCGTGCTGACAGAACCAATCTGTCCTGGCTCTACCGTGCCGACAGAACCAATCTGTCCTGGCTCTACCGTGCCGACAGAACCAATCTGTCCTGGCTCTACCGTGCCGACAGAACCAATCTGTCCTGGCTCTACCGTGCCGACAGAACCAATCTGTCCTGGCTCTACCGTGCCGACAGAACCAATCTGTCCTGGCTCTACCGTGCCGACAGAACCAATCTGTCCTGGCTCTACCGTGCTGACAGAACCAATCTGTCCTGGCTCTACCGTGCCGACAGAACCAATCTGTCCTGGCTCTACCGTGCCGACAGAACCAATCTGTCCTGGCTCTATTGTTCTGACAGAACCAATCTTGATTTCCTTTTTATATTCTCCTTTTTCAGCACGGTTCCAGCTGTGTAACCAACCAGGCCAGCTCAGTACAGTACAGCTTGGTTTGGCTCAGCCTGGTTCGGTTTGGCTCAGTAGTGTGAAAAGCCCCTCTGAGAGTGTGTTAGGATAGTGGTTCTGAAACCTCTTCTCTGGGACCCCCACCCGACGTTTCACAATTTTTGTTCTAACCCTGAACTACCACACCTGATTAACAATAAACCAAGGTGCTTGACGATTAGTTGACAAGTTGAATCAGGCGTTACCTGCTCTGGAATGGATTAAATCCACGCGGAGGTTTAAAGGTTTTTGAGGTGAGGTTAGAGAACCGCTGTGTTAGGACCCTGACGGACCTGTAGCAGGGTGCTCCACCGCTGTCCCTCCCTGCAGCCCCAGCCTCGGCCCCAGATGCCAACGTCTACACCAAGTTCATGATGAACCACTGCTGCTACGACGCCATTCCAACCAGCTCCAAACTGGTCATCTTCGACACCACCCTGCAGGTACCCCCCAATACATTCAAGCTCCCCCCCCAAAAAAGCTCAACTTCAACACTGCAATGTTTATCATGGGGTTTGATTCTCACAGGGACCACCCATATGAAAACGTATGCACGTATGACTGTAAGTTGCTTTGGATAAAAATTGTCTGCTAAATGGGATATTATTATTATAAATGGTTCATTTAATAGGTCGTAAAACCTTTTTTGTCTTGAATGGGAAGCCCTGAAATGTCTTGCAACAAAGAGCACACTAGACCCCCCCCCAATGTGAACAGTGATTCAGATCAGTTTCTGTGTTTTGTGTTTCAGGTAAAGAAGGCTTTCTTTGCTCTGGTAGCGAACGGTGTGCGAGCGGCGCCTCTTTGGGATAACAAGCTGCAGTGTTTTGTAGGTGAGGCAACCTGGAACCTGAGCGTTTCCCAATCTGGCGTCTAACCTTTAAAGTCCAGTGGGTCAGCTATGAGCTAGACTCAGATTACAGACCCAGTAATATCAATTTAGCGTTCCTCTCAAACCCAACAACCCAACTCAGCTTTCCCTGCTTGGGATCAGCTAGGGCGACAGTTAGGGTCAGTGTAATTAGGTAGGTGACGGATGATTTGAAACGTGTGAGTTTACTGCTGCGTATGTGTGCGACATATTCTGGGCTTCTGGTTACACGTTTCTCTGTATTCACGTCTAACTGTGTTTCCTGTGGATAGGTATTTTGTGTATATAAATCCCTAGGAGGCTACTACACGTCCCTCTGTGTCTCCGAGAAGGTTATAACATGGGTGTTGATATGATTAAATGCAGATCACCGATTAGCCAGTCCCCTGGTGGGTCGCTGCTGGGTGGCCTTAAAGGCAAGTGGGCCAGTTCCGCTACACCCCACCCCGCCCGCCCGCCCGGCCGGTCTGGTTTTCTGGGTTAGGGTGACACCGTATTCCCTATATAGTTAGCTACTTTTAACCAGGCACTATATAGGGGAAAGGGTGTCATTTGGGACGCAAATCCCTGGGTTTGTGGGTTAGAGCCAGATCCATCCCCTCTGCAGGATTGGTGCCAAAGTTCTAGCTGTAAGTGGGGCACAGTTGGACTTGTCCTCTATACCGCGTCCCAAACGGCACCTTATTCCCTATATAGTGCACTACTTTTTGACCAGTGGTGGGCCCTTGTCAAAGAAGTGTACTATATCGGGAACAGGGTGGCAGTTTGGGACGCGGCCCTGTAATCCCCTGCACCCTCTCTGTAGTTATTAATACTCATCTACTCCACTGAGAGGGAGAATGCCACCAGTCCCTCGTACAGGGGGAGGGGGGGGCTCAAAACAAATCAAATCGGATTTGCCACACGCGCCGAATACAACAGGTGCAGACGTTACAGTGAAATGCTTACTTACAAGCCCTTAACCAACAATGCAGTTTTTTAAGAAATGTTTTATTAAAGAGCAGCAGTAAAATAAAATAACAGTAGGGAGGCTATAAATGGGGGGTACCGGTACAGAGTCAATGTGCGGGGGCACCGGTTAGTCGAGGTAACTGAGGTAATATGTACATGTGGGTAGAGTTAAAGTGACTATGCATAAATAATAAACAGAGTTGCAGCAGCATAAAAAGATGGGGTGGGGGTGGGGGGGGGCAGTGCAAATAGTCCGGGTAGCCATTGGATTAGATGTTCAGGAGTCTTATGGCTTGGGGGTAGAAGCTGCTACGTAATCTGGACCTCACCAGATTACGTAGCTACTGAACTGAAAATACATTCTGTCTGTGTGTGCACCATAGTTTAGTCCCATTTAAAGCTTTATTTCTTCCCTGTATCTTTCCAGGTATGCTGACCATCACAGACTTTATCAACATTCTCCACCGGTACTGGCAGTCTCCTCTGGTGAGTGATCCGTTGTTGTTGGACCTGGCTGTGATGTCATCCAGATTACTGGAGCCGGAACACAACGCATGCAGCTCTCACACAGCACACCCCTGTGTTGAATGGTATACACGTGTCTCATGCGATATACCAGGGCTGTCTAACCCTGTTCCCGGAGATCTGCCGTCCTGTAGGTTTTACCTCCAACCCTGTTCCTGGAGAGCTACCCTCCTGTAGGTTTTAACTCCAACCCTGTTCCTGGAGAGATACCCTCCTGTAGGTTCTCTCTCCAACCCTGTTCCTGGAGAGCTACCCTCCTGTAGGTTTTAACTCCAACCCTGTTCCTGGAGAGATACCCTCCTGTAGGTTCTCTCTCCAACCCTGTTCCTGGAGAGCTACCCTCCTGTAGGTTTTAACTCCAACCCTGTTCCTGGAGAGCTACCATCCTGTAGGTTTTCGCTCCAACCCTAATCTAGTCACCTGATTCTAATAATTAGCTGGTTGATAAACTGAACCAGGTTAGTTACAAATGGGGTTGAGTGAAAACCTACAGGAGGGTAGCTCTCCAGGAACAGGGTTGGAGCGAAAACCTACAGGAGGGTAGCTCTCCAGGAACAGGGTTGGAGCAAAAACCTACAGGAGGGTAGCTCTCCAGGAACAGGGTTGGAGCAAAAACCTACAGGAGGGTAGCTCTCCAGGAACAGGGTTGGAGCAAAAACCTACAGGAGGGTAGCTCTCCAGGAACAGGGTTGGAGCGAAAACCTACAGGAGGGTACCTCTCCAGGAACAGGGTTGGAGCAAAAACCTACAGGAGGGTAGCTCTCCAGGAACAGGGTTGGAGTTAAAACCTACAGGAGGGTAGCTCTCCAGGAACAGGGTTGGAGTTAAAACCTACAGGAGGGTAGCTCTCCAGGAACAGGGTTGGAGCAAAAACCTACAGGAGGGTAGCTCTCCAGGAACAGGGTTGGAGCGAAAACCTACAGGAGGGTACCTCTCCAGGAACAGGGTTGGAGCAAAAACCTACAGGAGGGTACCTCTCCAGGAACAGGGTTGGAGCAAAAACCTACAGGAGGGTAGCTCTCCAGGAACAGGGTTGGAGTTAAAACCTACAGGAGGGTAGCTCTCCAGGAACAGGGTTGGAGTTAAAACCTACAGGAGGGTAGCTCTCCAGGAACAGGGTTGGAGTGAAAACCTACAGGACGGTAGCTCTCCAGGAACAGGGTTAGAGTTAAAACCTACAGGAGGGTAGCTCTCCAGGAACAGGGTTGGAGTGAAAACCTACAGGACGGTAGCTCTCCAGGAACAGGGTTGGAATGAAAACCTACAGGAGGGTAGCTCTCCAGGAACAGGGTTGGAATGAAAACAGGAGGGTACTTCTTCTTCCCCTCTGTACTGTGAGAGTACACTTGTGTCTTACAGTACTTCATGCACATCTCTTACAATACAGAGTACACTTGTGTCTTTCAGTACAGAGTACACTTGTGTCTTTCAGTACAGAGTACACTTGTGTCTTACAGGTAGAGATCTACGAACTGGAGAAGCACAAGATAGAAGAATGTAGAGGTGACTATAACCCCGTAGGGGTGACTATAACCCCGTAGAGGTGACTATAACCCCGTAGAGGTGACTATAACCCCGTAGAGGTGACTATAACCCCGTAGAGGTGACTATAACCCCATAGAGGTGACTATAACCCCGTAGAGATGACTATAACGCCGTAGAGGTGAATATAATCCTGTAGAGGTGACTATAACCCCATAGAGGTGACTATAACCCTGTAGAGGTGACTATAACCCTGTAGAGGTGACTATAACCCCGTAGAGTTGACTATAACCCCGTAGAGTTGACTATAACCCCGTAGAGGTGACTATAACCCCGTAGAGGTGACTATAACCCCGTAGATGTGACTATAACCCCGTAGAGGTGACTATAACCCCGTAGAGGTGACTATAACCCCGTAGAGGTGACTATAACCCCGTAGAGGTGACTATAACCCCGTAGAGGTGACTATAACCCCGTAGAGGTGACTATAACCCCGTAGAGGTGACTATAACCCCGTAGAGGTGACTATAACTCTGTAGAGGTGACTATAAGCCCGTATAGGTGACTATAACCCCGTAGAGGTGACTATAACCCCGTAGAGGTGACTATAACCTTATAGAGGTGACTATAACCCCGTAGAGGTGACTATAACCCCGTAGAGGTGACTATAACCCTGTAGAGGTGACTAAAACCCCGTAGAGGTGACTATAACCCCGTAGAGGTGACTATAACCCTGTAGAGGTAACTATAACCCCGTAGGGGTGACTATAACCCCGTAGAGGTAACTATAACCCCGTAGAGGTGACTATAACCCAGTAGAGGTGACTATAACCCCGTAGAGGTGACTATAACCCGAGGGACTAAACCGTAAGAGGTGACTATAACCCGTAGAGGTGACTAAACCCGTAGAGGTGACTATAACCCCGTAGAGGTGACTATAACCCTGTAGAGGTGACTATAACCCTGTAGGGGTGACTATAACCCAGTAGAGGTGACTATAACCCCGTAGAGGTGACTATAACCCCGTAGAGGTGACTATAACCCCGTAGAGGTGACTATAACCCTGTAGAGGTGACTATAACCCTGTAGAGGTGACTATAACCCTGTAGAGGTGACTATAACACTGTAGAGGTGACTATAACCCCGTAGAGGTGACTATAACCCCATAGAGGTGACTATAACCCGTAGAGGTGACTATAACCCTGTAGAGGTGACTATAACCCCGTAGAGGTGACTATAACCCCGTAGAGGTGACTATAACCCCGTAGAGGTGACTATAACCCCGTAGAGGTGACTATAACCCCGTAGAGGTGACTATAACCCCGTAGAGGTGACTATAACCAGTAGAGGTGACTATAACCATTGTAAAGGTGACTATAACCCCGGAGTGATAACCTAAGGTGACTATAACCCCGTAGAGGTGACTATAACCCCGTAGAGGTGACTATAACCATGTAGAGGTGACTATAACCCCGTAGAGGTGACTATAACCATGTAGAGGTGACTATAACCCTGTAAAGGTGACTATAACCCTGTAGAGGTGACTATAACCCCGTAGAGGTGACTATAACCATGTAGAGGTGACTATAACCATGTAGAGGTGACTATAACCATGTAGAGGTGACTATAACCCCGTAGAGGTGACTATAACCCCGTAGAGGTGACTATAACCCCGTAGAGGTGACTATAACCCCGTAGAGGTGACTATAACCCCGTAGAGGTGACTATAACCCCGTAGAGGTGACTATAACCCCGTAGAGGTGACTATAACCATGTAGAGGTGACTATAACCATGTAGAGGTGACTATAACCCTGTAAAGGTGACTATAACCCCGTAGAGGTGACTATAACCCCGTAGAGGTGACTATAACCATGTAGAGGTGACTATAACCCCGTAGAGGTGACTATAACCATGTAGAGGTGACTATAACACTGTAAAGGTGACTATAACCCCGTAGAGGTGACTATAACCCCGTAGAGGTGACTATAACCATGTAGAGGTGACTATAACCATGTAGAGGTGACTATAACCATGTAGAGGTGACTATAACCCCGTAGAGGTGACTATAACCCCGTAGAGGTGACTATAACCCCGTAGAGGTGACTATAACCCCGTAGAGGTGACTATAACCCCGTAGAGGTGACTATAACCCCGTAGAGGTGACTATAACCCCGTAGAGTTGACTATAACCATGTAGAGGTGACTATAACCCTGTAAAGGTGACTATAACCATGTAGAGGTGACTATAACCCCGTAGAGGTGACTATAACCCCGTAGTGGTGACTATAACCCCGTAGAGGTGACTATAACCCTGTAGAGGTGACTATAACCATGTAGAGGTGACTATAACCCTGTAAAGGTGACTATAACCCCGTAGAGGTGACTATAACCCCGTAGAGGTGACTATAACCATGTAGAGGTGACTATAACCATGTAGAGGTGACTATAACCCTGTAAAGGTGACTATAACCCCGTAGAGGTGACTATAACCCCGTAGAGGTGACTATAACCATGTAGAGGTGACTATAACCATGTAGAGGTGACTATAACCATGTAGAGGTGACTATAACCCCGTAGAGGTGACTATAACCCCGTAGAGGTGACTATAACCCCGTAGAGGTGACTATAACCCCGTAGGGGTGACTATAAACATGTAGCTACCTAGAAATAGATGGCACAATGGAATCCCCTTTTTGCTTGGCCGTTTGGGTTTTAGTCTAGGTATCCGTAAAAAGCACTTTGTAACAATCGCTGATGTAAAAAGGGCTTTTATAAAATACATTTGATTGATTGAAGTCTTGTTTACGTTCGCTGTGTTTCCTCCTGCTTCGTGCTCCAGAGGAATTACTGAAGTACTCCAACCATACTCTGATCAGTATCACACCCGACTCCAGGTAAGAAGCAGTGTGCAGCCTTACCTTCTCTGGCCCTTAGTCCCAGATGTGTTTGTTCTGTGTTGCCAACTGCTACGCCATTGTCACGACAACCTCTCTTCTCAGACTTGGACACCTGTCTCTTGTCCCTCCAGCCTCTTTGATGCCATCTACTCTCTACTGAAGTATAAGATCCACCGGCTGCCTGTGATCGACCCAGAGTCTGGCAACGTCCTGCACATCCTCACCCACAAACGCATCCTCAAGTTCCTCCACATCTTTGTGAGAACCGCTTTCATATGAGCCCATCTGGCATATTTTTTTCTGTTGATAAACAACATGTAATGATTCTGGAAACTTGATAGCCTGGTCCCGGATCTGTTTGTGACATATATTTTCCTATTTCTATGGCCGTTGTGACAAGGACCGTAGGAGTTGACAAGACATCTCAAACTGATCTGGGGACCAGGCTAGAAACTTGGTTCACTTTAATTTATGAAGCCATTCTTCCTCCCAGGGCACCATGATCCCGAAGCCTCGGTACCTCCAGAAGAGGATTGAGGAGGTGGACATTGGAACGTTTAAACGGATCGCTACTATCCAGGAGACAGCCACGGTGTATGATGCCCTGGCCATCTTTGTAGAACGAAGGGTTTCCGCTCTGCCAGTGGTCAATGAGGAGGGTATGTGTCTGGTTTCACCTCAGTGATGATAACACCTTTAACATTGACTTCCACTAACTTTTAGGAAAAGTTTGGGGTTTTTTCACCAAAAAATGTACAATGCCTAATTCTAGGGTACAGTATTCTATAGAGCCATTATTGCATGGAACTCTGTTCCATCTCATATTGCTCAAATAAACAGCAAACCTGGTTTCAAAAAACAGATAAAGCAGCACCTCACGTCACAACGCCTCTCCCCTATTTGACCTAGATAGTTTGTGTGTATGTATTGATATGTTGGCCACGTCTGTCTTTAAAAAAGAAAATGTATGTAGTTCTGTCCTTGAGCTGTTCTTGTCTATTAATGTTCTGTATTATGTCATGTTTCATGTTTTGTGTGGAACCCCAGGAAGAGTAGCTGCTGCTTTTGCAACAGCTAATGGGGATCCTAATAAAATACCGAATACCAGACCTAGTTTGAACGCTAGGGTTGGCCCTTCAGTTTGAACGCTAGGGTTGGCCCTTCAGTTTGAACGCTAGGGTTGGCCCTTCAGTTTGAACGCTAGGGTTGGCCCTTCAGTTTGAACGCTAGGGTTGGCCCTTCAGTTTGAACGCCAGCCTTATCTGTATGTTTTCTGTTTTCAGGGAAGGTCAAGGCTCTGTACTCCAGGTTTGATGTGATTGTAAGTGGGACCATATCAATTACTCTGCACTGAGATGGAAAAAACTGCATAAAAATGGTTCACATTGCAAATGTCCCATGGATTAGACGCAACCAGATGCCAAGGAGGCTGTGCAAAATGTCAAGCATCTTGTATCTGCTATTTTTGAAATGTGCCATATGGGGGCGGGGAGTGATAAGACAGCAAATAGTATTGTAATTAGCATCATTACCATCTGTCTTCCTCCTGTGTTGCCGTAGAACCTGGCAGCTCAGAAGAACTACAACAACCTGAACATGACAATGCAGGAGGCGATTAGCTCCAGGGCCTGCTGTGTGGAGGGAGTGCTGAAGTGTTACCCCCACGAAACTCTGGAGACTATCATCGATCGCATTGCTAAGGCAGAGGTAAGACTTACTGTAGTGTTTCCCTGCTGGTCTCTGTGTTGTCCTGGTTCGTCCCAAATGGCACCCTTTTTCCTATATAGTGCACTACTATTGACCAGAGCCCTATTGACCCTGGTCTAAAGTAGTGCACTATATAGGGAACTGGTCTAAAGTAGTGCACTATATAGGGAACTGGTCTAAAGTAGTGCACTATATAGGGAATAGTGTGTCATTTGGTTCACAGCCTCTGTCATGCCGTGTCTCTCCTCTTCCTCCTCCTCTTCCTCCCAGGTTCAGTCTCTCCTCCTCTTCCTCCCAGGTTCACCGTCTCTCCTCCTCTTCCTCCTCTTCCTCCCAGGTTCACCGTCTCTCCTCCTCTTCCTCCTCTTCCTCCCAGGTTCACCGTCTCGCCTCCTCTTCCTCCCAGGTTCACCGTCTCTCCTCCTCTTCCTCCCAGGTTCACCGTCTCTCCTCCTCTTCCTCATCCTCTTCCTCCCAGGTTCACCGTCTCTCCTCCTCTTCCTCATCCTCTTCCTCCCAGGTTCACCGTCTCTCCTCCTCTTCCTCCTCTTCCTCCCAGGTTCACCGTCTCTCCTCCTCTTCCTCATCCTCTTCCTCCCAGGTTCACCGTCTCGCCCCCTCTTCCTCATCCTCTTCCTCCCAGGTTCACCGTCTCTCCTCCTCTTCCTCATCCTCTTCCTCCCAGGTTCACCGTCTCGCCTCCTCTTCCTCCTCTTCCTCCCAGGTTCACCGTCTCTCCTCCTCTTCCTCCTCTTCCTCCCAGGTTCACCGTCTCTCATCCTCTTCCTCCTCTTCCTCCCAGGTTCACCGTCTCGCCTCCTCTTCCTCCCAGGTTCACCGTCTCTCCTCCTCTTCCTCATCCTCTTCCTCCCAGGTTCACCGTCTCGCCCCCTCTTCCTCATCCTCTTCCTCCCAGGTTCACCGTCTCTCCTCCTCTTCCTCATCCTCTTCCTCCCAGGTTCACCGTCTCGCCTCCTCTTCCTCCTCTTCCTCCCAGGTTCACCGTCTCTCCTCCTCTTCCTCCTCTTCCTCCCAGGTTCACCGTCTCTCCTCCTCTTCCTCCTCTTCCTCCCAGGTTCACCGTCTCGCCTCCTCTTCCTCCTCTTCCTCCCAGGTTCACCGTCTCTCCTCCTCTTTCTCCTCTTCCTCCCAGGTTCACCGTCTAGTGCTGGTGGATAAAGATGACGTGGTGGGAGGGATCGTCTCGCTCTCTGACCTCCTCCAGGCCCTGGTCTTGACCCCGGCAGGTATTGATGCCCTTTTCTCTTAGCACCTGACTGTGGGGGTGTGAATCCATCGATCACCACCCACCACCTCCCAGCCCCTCCCCAGCCCCAACCCCAGGTAAGCCCACGCGTGGGCTGTCGGTCGCCCTCTAATCCTGCCCTGCCCTCTAGTCCTGCCATGCTCTGCCCTGTCCTGCCCTGTCCTGCCTTGCCCTGCCCTGTCCTGTCCTGTCCTGCCGGTTGCTGCCTGATGGAGGTGCTGCCATACATAGCTCTCTGTAGCTTCTGCCTCTCCTCTCCTCTCCTCTCCTCTCCTCTCCTCTCCTCTCCTCTCCTCTCCTCTCCTCTCCTCTCCTCTCCTCTCCTCTCCTCTCCTCTCCTCTCCTCTCCTCTCCTCTCCTCTCCTCTCCTCTCCTCTCCTCTCCCCCCTATCTCTGGATGACTACATCCCAATTGGCACCCTGTTCCCTATGTAGTGCACTACTTTTGACAAGATATGGGCTCTGGTCAAAAGTAGTGCACTATATAGGGAATAGGGTGCCAATTTGCAGCCTCTGTGTGAGAGGGAGCTGTAGTCAGTCACTTCTGTTTGACATGTGACTGCAGTAGACCAATCTGCCTGGCCCATTTCTTCTTGTCTTGATGATCAAAACAGCATCTTTGTCTTTGATGGAATGAATGCGTCTGAGCTGCCATGAGACATATTGTTAGCATGTTAATGAATGATTTGAGCCAGTCCAGTGCTCATTCCCAACCAAAAGTCAAACTACATAACGTAAAACGTTTACACAACACACCTTCCTATTGGGGAGGAAAACAGACATTACTTGTCTCTGTCAAAAATAATGATTTGTTGATTTTGCTTCTATTTTACAGAGATTTCGCAAAGAGCAAACTGAAGAAAAATTGGGAGACTTATAATGAATGAAGAAAGAAACTGTAAATATTTTTGATCATGCTCGGTAACTTTAAAAAATGCTATTTAAAAAGGTTTATTATATTCTGCAGGATAACACCAATGCGTTCGTATTTTTATATTCATACTTGTATTTGTGTCTTTGTTTGTTTATTTATACATTGTTTTGATAATGTACATTTTCTCAAATCTCTCCTATTTAGTGATTATTTAAAGATACACAATATTTATGTTTCCTCCAAATACATGTTCCTCTTCTCCATAAATATTATGTCTCATTAAGTTATGTTTCTCCTCTTCTCCATATATATTATGTCTCTTTAAATAATGTTCCTCTACTCCATAAATATTGTCTCTTTAAATAATGTTCCTCTACTCCATAAATATTGTCTCTTTAAATAATGTTCCTCCTCTAATCCATAATTATTATGTCTCTTTAAAAAATGTTATTCTACTCCATAAATATTGTCTCTTTAAATAATGTTTCTCCTCTTCTCCATATATATTATGTCTCTTTAAATGTGGTCCTTTGTAGCTCAGCTGGTAGAGCACGGTGCTTGTAACGCCAAGGTAGTGGGTTCGATCCTCGGGACCACCCATACACAAAAAAATGTATGCACGCATGACTGTAAGTCGCTTTGGATAAAAGCGTCTGCTAAATGGCTTATTATTATTATTATTATAAATAATGTTCCACTCTTCTCCATAAATATTATGTCTCTTTAAATAATGTTCCTCTACTCCATAAATATTGTCTCTTTAAATAATGTTCCTCTACTCCATAAATATTGTCTCTTTAAATAATGTTCCTCTACTCCATAAATATCATGTCTCTTTAAATAATATAGCGACTGGCCACTCCAGGACCTTAATTTACATTTACGTTTACATTTACGTCATTTAGCAGAAGCTCTTATCCAGAGCGACTTTCAAATTGGTGCATTCACCTTATAGCCAGTGGGATAACCACTTTACACATTTTGTCTTGTTTTTAAAAATGTGTGGGGGTGGGGGGGGGTGTAGAAGGATTACTTTATCCTATCCCAGGTATTCCTTAAAGAGGTGGGGTTTCAAATGTCTCCGGAAGGTGGTGAGTGACTCCGCTGTCCTGGCGTCGTGAGGGAGCTTGTTCCACCATTGGGGTGCCAGAGCAGCGAACAGTTTTGACTGGGCTGAGCTGGAACTATGTTTCCGCAGAGGAAGGGGAGCCAGCAGGCCAGAGGTGGATGAACGCAATGCCCTCGTTTGGGTGTAGGGACTGATCAGAGCCTGAAGGTACGGAGGTGCCGTTCCCCTCACAGCTCCATAGGCAAGCACCATGGTCTTGTAACAGATGCGAGCTTCAACTGGAAGCCAGTGGAGTGTGCGGAGGAGCGGGGTGACGTGAGAGAACTTGGGAAGGTTGAACACCAGACGGGCTGCGGCATTCTGGATGAGTTGTAGGGGTTTAATGGCACAGGCAGGGAGCCCAGCCAACAGCGAGTTGCAGTAATCCAGACGGGAGATGACAAGTGCCTGGATTAGGACCTGTGCCACTTCCTGTGTAAGGCAGGGTCGTACTCTCCAAATGTTGTAGAGCATGAACCTACAGGATCGGGTCACCGCCTTGATGTTAGCGGAGAACGACAGGGTGTTGTCCAGGGTCACGCCAAAGCTCTTCGCACTCTGGGAGGAGGACACAACAGAGTTGTCAACCGTGATGGCGAGATCATGGAACGGGCAAGGTTCAGCTTGAGGTGGTGATCCGTCATCCATACTGATATGTCTGCCAGACATGCAGAGATGCGATTCGCCACCTGGTTATCAGAAGGGGGAAAGGAGAAGATTAGTTGTGTATCGTCAGCGTAGCAATGATAGGAGAGGCCATGTGAGGATATGACAGAGCCAAGTGACTTGGTGTATAGCGAGAATAGGAGAGGGCCTAGAACTGAGCCCTGGGGGACACCAGTGGTGAGAGCACGTGGTGCGGAGACAGCTTCTCGCCACGCCACTCGGTAGGAGCGACCGGTCAGGTAGGACGCAATCCAAGAGTGAGCCGCGCCGGAGATGCCCAGCACGGAGAGGGTGGAGAGGAGGATCTGATGGTTCACAGTATCAAAGGCAGCAGACAGGTCTAGAAGGACAAGAGCAGAGGAGAGAGAGTTAGCTTTAGCAGTGCGGAGAGCCTCCGTGACACAGAGAAGAGCAGTCTCAGTTGAATGACCAGTCTTGAAACCTGACTGGTTTGGATGAAGAAGGTCATTCTGAGAGAGATAGCAAGAGAGTTGGCTAAAGACGGCACGCTCAATAGTTTTGGAAAGAAAAGAAAGAAGGGATACTGGTCTGTAGTTGTTGACATCAGAGGGATCGAGTGTTGGTTTTTTGAGAAGGGGTGCAACTCTCGCTCTCTTGAAGACGGAAGGGACATAGCCAGCGGTCAAGGATGAGTTGATCAGCGAGGTGAGGTAGGGGAGAAGGTCACCGGAGATGGTCTGGAGAAGAGAGGAGGGGATAGGGTCAAGCGGGCAGGTTGAGGAGGGGGAGGAGGATTCAGCAGGGAGGAGAACGTGGCAAAGAGCTTCCTAGGGTTAGAGGCAGATGCTTGGAATTTAGAGTGGTAGAAAGTGGCCTTAGCAGCAGAAACAGATGAAGAAAATGTAGAGAGGAGGGAGTGAAAAGATGCCAGGTCCGCAGGGAGTCTAGTTTTCTTCCATTTCCGCTCAGCTGCCCGGAGCTCTGTTCTGTGAGCTCGCAATGAGTCATCAAGCCACGGAGCTGGAGGGGAGGACCGAGCCGGCCGGGAGGATAGGGGACATAGAGAGTCAAAGGATGCAGAAAGGGAGGAGAGGAGGGTTGAGGAGGAAGAATCAGGAGATTGGAGGGAGAAGGATTGAGCAGAGGGAAGAGATGATAGGATGGAAGAGGAGAGAGTAGCGGGAGAGAGAGAGCGAAGGTTGCGGCGGCGCATTACCATCTGAGTAGGGGCAGAGTGAGTAGTGTTGGAGGAGAGCGAGAGAGAAAAGGATACAAAGTAGTGGTCGGAGACATGGAGGGGAGTTGCAGTGGGATTAGTTAATGTGCTTCTTCTTGAGCCACTCCTTTGTTGCCTTGGCCGTGTGTTTTGGGTCATTGTCATGCTAGAATACCCATCCACAACCCATTTTCAATGCCCTGGCTGAGGTAAGGAGGTTCTCACCCAAGATTTGACAGTACATGGCCCCGTCCATCGTCCCTTTGATGCGGTGAAGTTGTCCTGTCCCCTTAGCAGAAAAACACTCCCAAAGCATAATGTTTCCACCTCCATGTTTGACGGTGGGGATGGTGTTCTTGGGGTCATAGGCAGCATTCCTCCTCCTCCAAACACGGCGAGTTGAGTTGATGCCAAAGAGCTCAATTCTGGTCTCATCTGACCACAACACTTTCACCCAGTTCTCCTCTGAATCATTCAGATGTACATTGGCAAACTTTAGATGGCCCTGTATATGTGCTTTCTTGAGCAGGGGGACCTTGCGGGCGCTGCAGGATTTCAGTCCTTCACGGCGTAGTGTGTTACCAATTGTTTTCTTGTTGACTATGGTCCCAGCTGCCTTGAGATCATTGACAAGATCCTCCCGTGTAGTTCTGGGCTGATTCCTCACTGTTCTCATGATCATTGCAACTCCACGAGGTGAGATCTTGCATGGAGCCCCAGGCCGAGGGAGATTGACAGTTATTTTGTGTTGTCACCTTCTCACCAAGCTAATTGGCGATGGTCTTGTAGCCCATTCCAGCCTTGTGTAGGTCTACAATCTTGTCCTTGGCCATGGTGGAGAGTTTGGAATCTGATTGATTGATTGCTACTGTGGACAGGTGTCTTTTATACAGGTAACAAGCTGAGATTAGCAGCACTCCCTTTAAGAGTGTGCTCCTAATCTCAGCTCGTTACCAGTATAAAAGAGACCTGGGAGCCAGAAATCTTTCTGATTGAGAGGGGGTCAAATACTTATTTCCCTCATTAAAATGCAAATCAAGTCATAACATTTTTGACATGCGTTTTTCTGGATTTTGTTGTTGTTATTCTGTCTCTCACTGTTCAAATAAACCTACCATTAAAATTATAGACTGATCATTTCTTTGTCAGTGGGCAAACGTTCAAAATCAGGAGGGGATCAAATACTTTTTTCCCTCACTGTAGATATAGGGACAGTAGCTACAGTTGAAGTCGGAAGTTTACATACACTTAGGTTGGAGTCATTAAAACTCGTTTTTAAACCACTCCACAAATTTCTTGTTAACAAACTATAGTTTTGGCAAGTCGGTTAGGACATCTACTTTGTGCATGACACAAGTATTCTTCCAACAATTGTTTACAGACAGATTATTTCGCTTATAATTCACTGTATCACAATTCCAGTGGGTCAGAAGTTTACATACACTAAATTGACTGTGCCTTTAAACAACTTGGAACATTTCAGAAAATGATGTCATGGCTTTAGAAGCTTCTGATAGGCTAATTGACATAGTTTGAGTCAATTGGAGGTGTACCTGTGGATGTATTTCAAGGCCTACCTTCAAATTCAGTGCCTCTTTGCTTGACATCATGGGAAAATCAAAAGAAATCAGCCAAGACCTGAGAAAAACATTGTAGACCTCCACAAGTCTGGTTCATCCTTGGGAGCAATTTCCAAATGCCTGAAGGTACCACGTTCATCTGTACAAACAATAGTACGCATGTATAAACACCATGGGACCACGCAGACGTCATACCGCTCAGGAAAGAGACGCGTTCTGTCTCCTAGAGATGAACGTACTTTGGTGCGAAAAGTGCAAATCAATCCCAGAACAACAGCAAAGGACCTTGTGAAGATGTTGGAGGAAACAGGTACAAAAGTATCTATATCCACAGTAAAACGAGTCCTATATCGACATAACCTGAAAGGCCACTCAGCAAGGAAGAAGCCACTGCTCCAAAACCGCCATAAAAAGGCCAGACTACGTTTTGCAACTGCACATGGGGACAAAGATCGTACTTTTTGGAGAAATGTCCTCTGGTCTGATGAAACAAAAATAGAACTGATTGGCCATAATGACCATCGTTATGTTTGGAGGAAAAAGGGGGTACCTTGCAAGCCGAAGAACACCATCCCAACCGTGAAGCACGGGGGTTAAACAATTTGAAGGCAATGCTACCAAATACTAATTTAGTATATGTAAACTTCTGACCCACTGGGAATGTGATGAAAGAATTAAATGCTGAAATAAATCATTCTCTCTACTATTATTCTGACATTTGACATTCTTAAAATAAAGTGGTGATCCTAACTGACCTAAGACAGGGAATTTTTACTGGGATTAAATGTCAGGAATTGTGAAAAACTGAGTTTAAATGTATTTGGCTAAGGTGTATGTAAACTTCCGACTTCAACTGTATATACAGGGTCAGTAGCTATATACAGGGTCAGTAGCTATACACAGGGTCAATAGCTATACACAGGGTCAGTTTCAGGGTCAGTTCCAATACCATATTAACTATGTGCAGGGATACTGGAGTGATAGAGGTAGATATGTATAAGGGTAAGGTGACTATATACAGGGTCAGTTCCAGTACTATATTTACAATGTGCAGGGATACTGGAGTGATGGGAGGTGGATATGTATAGGGGTAAGGTGACTATATACAGGGTCTTAGACAATTTTCAAGGTCTTCCTTTCACACCGCCTGATATAGACGTCCTGAATGGCAAGGAGCTCGGCCCCAGCGATATACTGGGCTGTGCAGTTGCAATACCAGGTGGTGATGCAGCCAGTCAAGATGCTCTCAATGGTGCGGCTGTATAACTTTTTGAGGATCTGATGCCAAATCATGCCAAATCTTTTCAACCTCCTGAGGT